AGACGTAAACAGAGTATCTCTATAATTCACGCATGGAAGAGGAACGTAACATCTGTAAAAGAAACGATATTTTTATTAATTTAATTATATTTTTACGTGAGAAAAAGCTATTTTAATTATTAATTATAATTAATTTTCATACTATAAAAAACTTTTTTATTATACCGTAGGTGGTTTGTATATGTTATAGGTTATCGAGTTTAACAAATATATCAAAGGAAAGTATCGTCATTTAAGAAAAATCACGATTAGATCGTTAGAAAAATAGGATTTATGATGATCATGAATAATACATTTTTTCTATTTTCTCATCATTTCTACATTTCCAATGATTTTCCATTACTCATCCAAGAATATTGTGATCAGGAATCTTCTTTTCCTGTTCCTTTTCATATCTCAAATATTAATAAATTCTTTGTGCATACGAAGAAAGAAGAAGAAAAATTAACGAAAAATATTCGCCACTCTAATGGTTTGACTTCACCTCACTAAATCTGCGTTTTGTACGCAAATTTTTTGTCAAAAAACAATTTTAACAACAATAGCAACAACAACAAAAATAATGGTGAAAGTTGTCCTATGTCAAGTATATTGTCCACCATTTTGTAATTTTGTTCGTCTCTCAAATTCAAAAGAAAAAAAAAATGAAAAAAAAAATTCTTTTCTCTGCATGATTCTTGTAATAATTGCATGTTTAATAAAAAATATTTTATTCCGATTTTAGTTTGCTTTTAGTATATTATTTGTCATCACTATAAATAAACAAATTAATTAATTAAAAATTCTTAATTTAAAATTAGTTTTTTGATTCTCCACTAGATGGCGGGTATATCTATTAAAGTTCTAGAGAAAAGTTTTTCTAGAACAATCATGAAATGTATTACAACTTTTTTGCTGTTTATTACTTTTTTCTTTATAACAATTTATAAGTAAATAAATAAATAATTTATTTAATAATTTATGAAATTTTAAAAGAAATTTTAAACAGAATTTTTAATTAAAAAAAAAAACTTCNCCAATGGCACATAAAAGCTAGAAAAGGTAGCGAATATCTGATAGGCAACATCTTGACTCACAAGACACCTTTTTTCTTCTTCTAGTCGCTTGGCAAAATCGGGATCTTTCCAACCGAATATAGGCGCTAGAGATACCACAAACGATACTATCCAAACTAAAAGGATCATTATGTAAATGTGTTTAGCATTTCTTTGACGAGCGTAATCGACGTTAGTTACTGCCCAAAATCTGTCAACTGCTATGGCTAAGAGGTGTAAGATAGATGCTGTACAACAGAGAACGTCACATGCAGTCCACACGTCACATAACTCGGGTCCCATTATCCATTCTTGATTCACTTCGTTTACAGCACCGAGTGGCATAACCAAACATGCTACCATCAGATCTGCAACACCTAAGGATAGGACTAAATAATTACCAACACTCTGTAGATTCTTCTCGATAAATATTGCAGCTATGACAAATAAATTTCCAACTACAGTAGCTAATATTATGATACCCAATAATACAGACATCACAACCATTCCTATAATATCGATTTTTATAGGATCTTCAACTGTAAAGTTGTAAAAATCGAAAGTCATATTTGACTGCATTTTTATTTATAATTTATATAACTTTTCGAAGTAAAATTTTATTAATTAATTTGATTTTTATATTTAAATTTCTTCATAATATCCAACAATCGACGATTTTTGTGACAATGAGAGATGCGTGTTGCAAATAGTTTTCATCACTTCTCTACTTAATTTTTTCATAACAATTTGATAAATAATTATTTTTCTCAAAAAGTTACTGAATAACTTTATACACTTTTATGCATAAACATATTTTAAACTAGACGTAAACAGAGTATCTCTATAATTCACGCATGGAAGAGGAACGTAACATCTGTAAAAGAAACGATATTTTTATTAATTTAATTATATTTTTAAGTGAGAAAAAGCTATTTTAATTATTAATTATAATTAATTTTCATACTATAACAGTAAATTTCATAAAAAGTTTGATTATAGATATCATTTACAGAGTCTAATTAGATTCAATAAATTTTCAAGTATATAAAATTAAAGAACTCCTCAACTAGAAGTGGAATAATCGAATTATCTTAATTATTTCACGAGATTGAACTCATTTATGTAAAACTTTGCCACATGAATAATTTATTAACGTATAAATATTTTGAACTAAATATTAATTATTATTATTAACTTCGTTACAATGATATCTTATAATTTAATATATGACTAACTACCTGATCAAAGTTTGATTATGAATAATGAATTTTATATAAAAATTAATTAAATAAATATTTGTATAAAGTTATATATATATATATTTCCCCCTATACCGTTTCATAAATGTTATGGGGTCAATCGCATTTTATAAAACGTTATCGAAGCTTATAAAAACTCTTAAAGAAAGAAACAAAGAGATGCACTTCAAAGTTTCTTCATCCAGGTATTCCCTTGCAAAATCCCGTAACCATAGAAACAACTTCTTTGCCTAGCTATCTGATGTTAACATTATGACTTGTCTATCATATTTTCATGGTAATTCGTGTGTATTTATACAACGAACATAGCTAGAAGTAGAATAAATGTTTGGAAACAGATGTCGAAAGGTTTATACTTGGTTTATCTTCTAAAGTAGGTTATGACTAGAAAAGTAAAGAGCTTATTCCTTTACTTTGAATCCTTTTGAACAATACAGAACATTTACTCAAGCAGAAAAAGATGCAAGAAGTCTTACAAATATGATGTCAGCACTTAAATGGCTTTCAAATATTGATTTTTTTGACATTTAAAC